GAAACTACCATATCTTCTATCAACTCATTGCCGGTGCTACCGACGCTGAGAGGCAAGAGCTGGGATTGTTAACCGTCGAGGAGTTTGACTACTTGAATCAGGGAGGAACACCTGTCATTGATGGAGTCGATGACAAGGCTGAGCTCGAAGCCACCAGAAAATCCCTCACCACCATTGGATTGGATGATGATATACAGGCCTCTATTTTTAAGATTTTGGCTGCGTTGCTTCACCTTGGCAATGTCAAGATTGTTGCTACCAGGAATGACTCCTCTCTCGAGCCTACTGAGCCATCTTTGGTTCGAACTTGCGAGATGCTGGGTATTGATGCTACCGAGTTTGCTAAATGGACCGTCAAGAAACAACTCATTACCCGAGGCGAGAAAATTATTTCAAACCTCAATCAGGCCCAGGCTCTCGTTGTCAGGGATTCGGTCGCTAAATTCATCTATTCCAGCCTCTTCGACTGGCTGGTGGAGACAATCAACCGCAGCTTGGCAACTGAAGAGGTTCTTAGCCGAGCTACCTCATTCATTGGTGTCCTCGATATCTATGGTTTCGAGCATTTCGCAAAGAACTCCTTTGAGCAGTTCTGTATCAATTACGCAAACGAGAAGTTGCAGCAAGAGTTCAACCAACATGTTTTCAAGTTGGAACAGGAGGAATATGTTAGGGAACAGATTGATTGGACTTTTATCAACTTCTCTGACAATCAGCCATGCATTGACCTCATTGAGGGCAAACTGGGTATTCTAGCTCTGCTTGACGAAGAGTCTAGATTGCCAATGGGTGCTGACGAACAATTCGTCAACAAACTGCACCACAACTTCGCTGCGGACAAGCAAAAGTTCTACAAGAAGCCCCGGTTTGGCAAGTCATCTTTCACCGTCTGCCATTATGCCATCGATGTCACCTACGAGTCAGATGGCTTCATTGAGAAGAACAGGGATACAGTCCCTGACGAGCACATGGAAGTCCTCAAGAACTCTTCCAACTCCTTTATCAGAGATGTCCTCCAAGCTGCTACGGCTATTCGCGAGAAGGATTCTGCCTCCATGTCCTCCAGGGCCGTTGCAGCCCCAGGAAGGAAGATCGGAGTTGCCGTTAACCGTAAGCCAACGCTAGGAGGCATCTTCAAGTCCTCCCTCATTGAGCTTATGAACACTATAAACTCCACTGATGTGCATTATATCCGGTGCATAAAGCCCAATGAAGCGAAGGAAGCCTGGAAGTTTGAGGGCCCTATGGTTCTCAGTCAGCTTCGAGCTTGTGGTGTTCTTGAGACCGTGCGAATAAGTTGTGCCGGTTACCCAACCCGATGGACTTACGAAGAGTTTGCTCTCAGGTATTATATGCTTTGCCACTCTTCGCAATGGACATCTGAAATCCGTGCCATGTGTCATGCTATTCTATCGAAAGCCTTGGGTGACATCACTCAGCAACAGCAAGACAAGTACCAGCTTGGTTTGACTAAGATCTTCTTCCGAGCTGGTATGCTTGCTTTCCTAGAGAATCTCCGTACTTCCCGCTTGAATGAATGTGCCATTATGATTCAGAAGAATCTTAAATGCAAATTCTATAGACGGAAGTATCTTGCCATGCGCGGTTCTATTCTTGCCTTCCAAGGCCTCATTCGCGGATTCTTGGCCAGACAGCACGCCGAAGGAGCCCGCCAGGTCAAGGCCGCGACCACTATCCAGCGAGTCTGGAGAGGCCAGAAGGACCGCAAATACTACCACAAGATCAGAAACAATGTCATTCTCGTGGAGTCGTTGGCGAGAGGTTACCTTTGCCGCCGAAATATCATGGACAGTATCCATGGAAACGCAGCGAAAGTTATTCAACGGTCTTTCAGAACATGGCGACAAATCCGCAAATGGAGAGATTACCGCCGCAAGGTTGTCATTGTACAGAACTTGTGGCGTGGTAAGAAGGCTCGCAGACAGTACAAGACTCTACGTGAGGAGGCTCGCGATCTCAAGCAGATATCCTACAAGCTTGAAAATAAGGTGGTGGAGTTGACCCAGTCACTCGGATCTCTTAAGCAGCAGAACAAGTCTTTGACTTCCCAGCTCGAGAACTATGATGGACAGATCAAATCCTGGAGAAGCCGGCATAACGCTCTTGAAGCCAGGTCCCGCGAATTGCAGGCTGAGGCTAACCAGGCTGGTATCACTGCTGCCCGCTTGACAGCTTTGGAGGAAGAAATGTCGAAACTTCAGCATAATCATAACGAGTCACTTGCAACTATCAAGAAACTACAAGAGGAAGAAAAGTCAACCCGAGAAACTCTCCGTCTTACCAGCCTTGAACTTGATAATGCTAAGAATGCCATTGCTGTCCATGAACAAGAGAAGACCTACCTCCGCCAGCAAGTTGTTGAGCTGCAAGATGAGCTTGAATTTGCTAAGAGATCTGCGCCTCTCAATGGACTCAATGGGGACCTGAATGGAAACGCACCTACTCAACCCAGCTTATCTGGTCTGATCAACTTGGTTGCTTCGAAGAAACCCAAGCCAAAGAGACGCAGCGCCGGGCTCGAAAAGGTTGAAATCGACCATCGTTTCAGTGGTGCCTACAACCCAAGGCCCGTCTCTATGGCCATACCCACCGGTGGAGTTGGCCGCAATGATTTCCGAAACTCAGCATTCGCTCCTGGAATCGACTCTGTGGAGATTGAACTTGAGAACCTTCTCTCCGAAGAAGATGCCCTTAACGACGAAGTTAGCATGGGTCTCATCAAGAATCTTAAGATTCCTCTCCCCAGCTCTGATCCACCACCCACGGAGAAGGAAGTCTTGTTCCCATCCTACCTCATTAACCTGGTCACATCCGAGATGTGGAACAACGGTTTCGTGAAAGAATCCGAACGCTTCCTTGCTAATGTTATGCAGGCAATTCAACAGGAGGTCATGCAACATGATAGTGAAGATACGATCAGCGCTGGTGCGTTCTGGCTTTCCAACGTCCACGAAATGCTTTCCTTTGTCTTCCTTGCAGAAGACTGGTATGAAGCGCAAAAGACCGACAATTATGAATACGACCGTCTTTTGGAGATCGTCAAGCATGATTTGGAGTCCTTGGAGTTCAACATTTACCACACATGGATGAAGGGATTGAAGAAGAAGCTATTTAAGATGATTGTCCCAGCCATCATCGAATCTCAGTCCCTTCCTGGTTTCGTCACAAGCGAGACGAACAGATTCCTTGGAAAACTGCTGCCTTCCAACAACAACCCTGCGTACAGCATGGACAATCTCCTTAGCCTGTTGAACAATGTTTTCAAGGCTATGAAAGCATACTACCTTGAAGATTCCATTATTACCCAGACCGTCACTGAGCTGCTCCGACTTGTTGGTGTCACTGCATTCAATGACCTGCTTATGCGACGTAATTTCCTCTCATGGAAGCGTGGTCTGCAAATTAACTACAATATCACCCGTATTGAGGAATGGTGCAAGAGCCATGATATGCCAGAGGGTACCCTACAGCTAGAACATCTAATGGTAAGCACCCATCCCCATATTCGATTCGGGCCTATTCTAATCATACCTCCCATTACAGCAAGCAACCAAGCTGCTTCAACTGAAGAAAGCCACTTTGAACGATATAGAGATCATTCAAGATATTTGCTGGATGTAAGTGCTATAACAACCGCCCTCAGCTGTCATAGGATAAATTACTTACACATACTTTTACAGGCTCTCACCGAACCAGATTCAAAAACTTCTCAACCAGTACCTTGTTGCTGATTACGAACAGCCTATCAATGGTGAAATCATGAAAGCTGTTGCGTCTCGTGTAACTGAGAAGAGCGATGTTCTGCTTCTGACTGCAGTTGACATGGAGGACAGTGGTCCTTATGAGATTGCTGAACCTAGAGCCATCACTGCACTTGAGACGTATACACCATCCTGTATGTGCCACTAAGACGCCTTCATTTTTCCTGCTACCATACTAACATGGCCATAGGGCTGCAAACCCCTCGACTTAAACGACTCGCAGAGATTGTTTCTGTCCAAGCAATGGCCCAGCAGGACCGCCTTGACAGCTTAGAGATGGGAGAGCCACCAGAGGATTAAAGCCGCTGTGTCTCCCTATATTGCCCATCACAATGGTCAAATATCCTTTTTGGCCCCCGAAACTTCACCTTGCTACCATCGACTTTATAGACATTGGAGTTTTTTGTCTTTGCTTCGAAAGAACCCATCTGAAAAGCTTCCAGTGGACGTATGCCTCTCCATTTCAAAGGGGCATTAATTATCCTTTTCTTTTTTTTCCATTTCTTTTCCTTTGTTTCTTTCATTTGTTTGAGACACGGTAATGTCTAACTCTTGTGACTATGTGATTCCCGATAAGACCATATTACGTTTAACCATCTACTCCGTTTTCGAGATATTTTGGTTCCAGGGGTTTTTACTTTGTTCGTTTGGTCTCCCTCTAACGGATTTTATGCTCGTCTCTACTTCTTCACGTATCGTGGCCCTCTTATTCATACGCGCCTTTAAAGTGTTTGGAGACCTCGCACTGTTTTATCATTCGCATCGGCCCATTGTTATGTTTCCTGTATTATATCTGTTGCACTTCACTTGCTTCCAAGTGTAAAATAGACGCTGCTTCGACGACTTTACGGGCGAAACCTGTTCGGAGTATATACCAGGGGTTTCAGGCTCAGAAGAGGTGTTTTGTTCAAATTCAGCACGACACATTGATGACAAAATCTAGGATTTTCCATGCCCAAGATAAATGCTAAACTATACTCTACCGTCTACAAAAGACTGGTTATATTCTTTAACTACGGCCCAGCACGGCCTTCGTGAGCTTCGGATCGGGTTAATTTGCACCTAACTGGTTAAGCTGTTATTGGAAGTTTAACTAGTGGGGGTCGCGGCAGTCGTAAAATATCAGTCATAGATCGTTCCTCCAGCGCCAACTTTCACTATCATATATATCTCTGTTCATTCTACGTATATCCAAGACCCAAAGCAGGAAAATCCGAGATGAAAAGCATCAACTTTGTGACAGGAAATAAAAACAAGCTTGCCGAAGTGCAGGCAATACTTCAGGGTACCATCGAGGTCGAGAGTGTATCTGTCGATGTCCCTGAGCTGCAGGGAACGATAGAAGATATCGCTAGAGAGAAATGTCGCAAAGCCGCTGAAGCAGTGAGTAACTCTGCATTTCATATGTTATCATTCTCAATAAGCCCTCGATTCCTTGGTGATTACTGACTTCATGATAAATAGGTCAACGGGCCTGCATTGACAGACGATACTGCCCTAGAGTTTAATGCACTTAACGGCCTACCAGGACCGTATATGTAAGGGTGGTTTAAATTATACCTGTTTATTCCATTTTACGGTGATATTTGCATCCAATGGTTAACATATATCTAGAAAATGGTTTCTCGAGAAGCTAGGCCATGTTGGACTCAATAAACTGGTTGAGCCATACGAGGACAAGTCCGCTGTAACGGTTGCTACGTTTGCCTTCTGCGCCGGACCAGGACAGGAGCCAATTCTCTTTCAAGGAAGAACTGAGGTGAGTGAGATATATAAAGATTGCTACTGAGCCCTACTCTTTATCAAAGGCGATTGGGTAATATAGAGGGGTTGTCAAATTTATAGGTTATATCTATAAGAGGCAAACCAACCGCTGTACTGCCCAGGAGTTTGGGATATAAAATTCCGATCTTATGTTACCCTTTTGATAAATCTCAGGGTCCTTAGTGCTCGGAGACTGGGCAAGAATATTGACAAGGCATAAAGCTGATGAAAAAAATCAACAGGGCAAGGTAGTTCCTGCTCGTGGGCCAAACCGTTTTGGTGAGTTGAGCAGTCCGGAATTACCCCGTATGATTTTGCAGTCAGAGGTTAACATTATCGATACCAGGTTGGGATCCGATCTTTGAATATGAAGGCCAGACATATGCCGAGATGGATCCAAAGTACAAGGTAACTGCACTTTTTGTTGTCTGATCTCTTTTTACCCATGACGGGCCGTTATGCTGATTGAATACACCTCGAAGAACACGATATCCCATCGATATAAGGCGCTGATGAAGCTCAAGGCATGGATCGAAGAGCAGAAAAAGCAGCAGCAGCTTTAATTCTTCGAAAACCTTCAACCGCTGGGGCTTGAAGTTGCTGATCGCATGGTGGAGGTTACATAACGAGTGCGGCCCTCGAGCTAATCAATCTGACCCTGTGGCATGCGATTGCTTCCAGGAATCTATCCACGATTTTATACGCTGGCAGTTGCTCTCAATCGCATCGTCTGTCTCGCTTTCGAGTTCAACCACAATTTCCTCGTCATAAGCTTCTCTGGCCTCCTCGAGTAGTACCCCGAAAATCTCGGCATCAAGGTTTTCTTGGAGCTTCTCCTCTGAATACGATCTATATAGAGCAAGAGTAGACATGTTAGTTAACGTTTTTCTCAGGAATTGGCTCGGGGATAATAGCGCTACCAACTCAAGATGCTGGACTATTTCAAGCTTACCTTGCTGCCAGTCTATCGTAGTGTATGGCGGTAGATGGGCACCTTAACACCACTACAAGATCAATCCATGATTTTGGGAATAGGTCGCAGGCATGCCAGTCAATAAGATACCCGCCTTGTAATACGTCGGCCTCGATTTCGTCAAGCAGCTAAGTTGGTTCATCAAATTAGTATCCAGTTGCGAGTGAGCACACTTATATTGAATACCTTGTCCTCGTCAACAATATGGCTTTTGAGCTTTTCATCGAACCCATCGTAGCATCCCCGTTCTTTTGCGACTTGATTTATTGATAAGTGCTTCAATTCTGTTTCCTGCGCCAGCTGCTCGCAGTGAACAGTCTTCCCCACTCCGGGGGTTCCAGTGATAATTATATTTGGTGAAGTTCTCATAGCTCCTTGAGACTAAGTGTTTCCAGGTGTTCCTTATGCGATATATCCTTCTGGGTGAAGGCTGATCAATAACTAGGTAGATGTCTAGAATGTATCATTTAACGTGCTGTCTTGGTGAATTGATACAAAATTTCCCCAAAAAACTCCGGCGCGGAAATTCTGTCACGTGAAGACGGCGACTGTCCGCGATTTCAGGTACCAACTCCAACATAGAGACGACCAAACTATGCGTCATAAACCTTGCCGTTTATATTTATCAAAAATATATCATAGCACTCTGTCGAAATTTCAGCTAAAAACCAATCCCTATTTAACCTCAGATGTCGATTCCGATGTTGATGGTTCGAGCCTAGAAATGACCTTGTTAATACCCATCATCTCAAGGGGAACCCGGGAGCATACATCAGCAGTTCAAAAGTGTCAAATTGTCGCAAATATCTGCTAGTTCTTCGAAAAGCTTTCAAATAATTTTCCGGTTTTGTAGTATGGAACTGTGTTCCAATCAGCTTTGAAGTTGCAGGCGAGGTTCTGAACATTGGGTCAAAAACAAGAAGGTTAACACTGCCGTCTTGTCGAACTTCGAATCCAATAATTGTCATAGAATGACCTTGTTGTTTTATGTGTCAGCCGATGGGACTCCAGAATAATCGAGAACTTCTTTTGGGAGACTGGGCTGGCATACCCTCATGCTGTAAGTATATCGGAGGGAGGTCTGTCTGAACAATATGCTTCCCGGAACCAGATATTTTGTGGCTCAGGAAATATTCTGCCACTATCAAATAGAGCAACTCAAAGGCCTTGTCATCTTGCGTCTCAGTACAGACTTTCGGGCGGCACCTGCGCAAGTGTTAGTTATATACATCTACCAGGCCCAAGCCTGTCAAGGCTGCACGTACGGAATCCCCAAATTCCAGAATAATGCCGCAGCCTATTTCACATAATTCTGTGATTAGTATGGCCTATGCCTACACAATTTGTAGGATATATACTTACCTCAGATGTTCCTATATATTTTCGCGTGCCCTTTATCCCCCCAGTCTCTGTCCGCCCATGGGTATTGAAACCATTATCCCACGCTTGTTCAATCATATCCTGTAGTCTTAATATCGATGGGGTCCTACCAGGAAAGTGCTCACAGCCGATTGAATTACTATCCTGGATATAAGACACGAGCATCTGGATATTACGATATCCACAGAATCCTCCTTCTTTTGGCATTTTAAAGATATGCCGAACATTGGCACTGCAGAGGTAAGCCTGCTCTACCGAGGAATCTTGTTGGCAAAGTCGAGCAATAAACGGGATAAGGCCAGATGTTTCATTCGAGACAGCCTCAACTTTGCGTATTGTGCCGTCAGGGAAAATCTTGTTCTCCCGAGTAATAACAGGTCCATCTTCAAGCACCTTACGCAACCACGAAGGCATTTTTGGTTCTCGAGCATAGGGCCCTAGCTCCGTAATCTAGATATTCAAATTTGGACGTTAGCAGGGTAGTCTAGGTCCGAGCAACAGCAACGCACGTTGCCCACAAAAAACAATATAAACACCATACCCCGAGTTGGCCCGCGCTCCTTGTTTTCTTCTTTTGCTTTGTAGCCTTTGCGTTGACTGGTGCATCTCTCTGCCGTTTCCCATCTTGTTTCCCCAGCACCTTGCTCAGTGCGGGAGATAGTATTTCTTCATCGATATCCCCGGATAATTTCATATCTGGGCCTTTGGTATCAAAGCCTTTGATTTCTTCCAGAGCTAGACCCTCTGCGAGATGTAGGTCTAAGTGGCTCATAAGCTGATCTTCAGTCACTGCTTCGCCGCAGCCAGTTGGGCAGTCAATATATTTGATATCTGTCCCCGCATCTTCATCAGTGTAAAGTGGCGTGTCACCATGCCACCACTCTGGTTTTCTGGAAGATCCAATATTTGTGTCTTCCTCTGTTTCTAGGACAGGCGAAGCACCATTTTCGGGGTGACAGAATTCCACGTGTTGAGTCAAGAAGTCCGCATCAGTGTCAGTGAAATCACAGAATGGACACGACAACGGTTCCGCGCCGTCCATTGTGTTGGAGTGATATGTGGGAATCAATAAACCTAGTCATTAAGTCGAGTAGCTAGATATCGACGTTCAAGCTGAATAGATTGACTGCTGTTGATATGTTTGCCCAGATATTGAATACTTGCAGCCAAGTTTATGACTGTATCTAGGCTAGCTTGTTAACTGCTAGTTACTTTTTGGTGAGCTACCCACTCTGATTGCGCGCCAAGTTAACAGCTAAGTACCCAGTTGAATGCCTAGCTAAACAGCTATGCGCCATATTGGCTAGGAAAACCTCCAGGGAGTAGCTAATATCAATTGGAAACAAGTAAACGAAGGTTAGTATCTTTATGGCTTCTCTCTACATATTTACTCTGATAGCGTTTTAAGGGCTTCAGAAATAGAGAACTTGTCACTGGCGTTGTGACCTTTAAAAACCCACCCACCATAAGATCGCCATGATATTTACAGCGCTCTTATTTTTGGTACCGAATCACGGTGAATAAATCATCAGGTCAGATTTACAAATTGCACAATCGAGGGAAGCTAGGTGCTGTAGGGGGTAAAAGGTAACTAAAAAAATAAAAAAAATAAAAAACCAAAAAAATTAACGAGAGAGCATGGGTTATTCATTTGTGTTTATCCTTTCCGTCTCACAGATTATATTGCATGAGAGATGAGAGTATTACTTAACTCCAGCACAACAAAATACTTCCAGCCGACCGACGGACCCTGACGGGTTGTTGAGCAGATATATGGGTGAATGAAGCAGATTGCCTGCCTTTCAATAGCCTTTCCGGATGCATTCCGGGCGAGTTTGCGGGGGAAATCCATTCCCGATAGCCTTTTATCTCAACGGGCTTTCGGTCATTTTTTAATCCACAGCCCTCCAGGTATACTGAAATTAGCATGGCGTTGCGTCCGGATCATCAAGATTATGCGTCGTCCTGCGGGGTCTTGATCCTTGCACGGTGGATTCAAAGTTCTGTCACCAGGAAAGCTACGAACAACAGATCATAATTTGGGAAATCTCACGCAAGGAACATTCGCTTCTTGAGTGATTAACTTAACACGGCTAGGGTCAGTGATTGTTTATAGACGCAAGCTTCGTATCGGTTGGCAGGACTGAGAGCGCAAGTTGTTACGCTGAAGCCGCCTTCGCCCAACATTACGGCTTTCCACGGTCCGTCCCGGTTATCCCAAGTAAGCAAGCGTCGCGCAGGGATGGGTATCGATTAGAATATTGGTAAAGCGCCCCGGGACCCGACATAAGAGTCGACCTCCTTTGCTTGATGGTCTGCCATGGGATCTCGCGTGGCCTCCAGTCCATATTGCCATCGATACCACGGGCCAGACAGCGCTCAGGGATCACTCAGAGTAAGTACAGCGGTTCATGCTTCCGTGTCAGAATATCCTCGTTGCATTCTCCTCGACAGGGGCATTAGTTTGACCAGGTTCGTACGCAAGCAAGCACTGCCCGCCTGCAACATATAATCTCCATCTCTGCCCTGCCAGCCCCAGGTTGCTCCTTTATCGTATATCAAATTGGCGGTTTTTCGTTGTTTTGTCGTTGAAATTGCGTTCCCCCTGCCTTTCCCGAAGAGGAAGCTCGTCTAAAACAAACCAAACAAACAAGGCAAACAAGGCAAACTTCCCCAAGTTGCTTATCGTCGCTGCATCCACGCTAGTCCAGACCGGGGTTAGCGCCAAATATTGCGTGATCCGGACCGGCGAAACATTCCGCAGTCGGAGCACGGAAAATCCCAAAGCGGTTAGTTCTGCCGCAGAAACGCGATTTTTGCAAGCGAAAAAGGTTATTTTCTTACGTAAGTCCCGATCTGCAAATTTCCCAAAGTTAAAAAATCATTGAGTCAGCGCAAAAAAAAGAGATAAGCGGAGGAAAGAGCGAAGGACGAAAAAAAGTTGAACATCCGCGGCTTTTTCTTTTGGGGGCAAGAAGGATGAATAACACTTAGATTTTGATATCATCTTCCTCCCTGCCACACTCTTTACTGTCGTTCATTTTTCTGCCGTTGCCATTGTTGCCCTGGAACTAAGATCCGAGCAGTCATACGAGACGAGAGACCGGCGGGGGAACCCTAGCTAGCATCATCCCCCACGAGCTTTGCTTCCGTTGCGAGCCATTGTATCTCATAACACCGCCATGAACGGTAATGGACATGTGGTCAACGGCCAGACGGCTGTCATGGCGAACGGAGTCCCGCGCACTCCTCCCTCAGACTGGGTTGTTCAAAAGTTCGGAGGTACAAGCGTGGGCAAATTCGCCCACCAGATAGTTGAGCAGGTCATCCAGTATGTCATACTCTTTTCTCGTATGATCATTTCCCACCATGAATGCAGCATCATTGCTAACTGTTATTGCTTTACCTAGACCGAGCACCCTTACAAACCATGTTGCTGTTGTATGCTCTGCCCGAAGCAGTTCTTCAAAGGCGGACGGGACCACTAACCGGTGAGTCAAACGCAAAATGCACCAGGAGAGAAGGTGGTGTGACTCTAGGAATGTGCTGCTAATATGACAATTCAATGTAGGCTCCTACGGGCAGCACGAGAAGCAGAAAATCCGCAGTCCTCACAATACAAGACCCTCGTCGATATAGTACTGTCGGAACACATAAGCGTCGCAAACGATCTTATCCACTCTACCGACCTGAGATCCCAATTAGTTTCCGAGTTTGATGCGGAATGCCAACGGGTGTTGAAAATACTAGAAGCTGCTCAAACACTGGGAGAAGTTAGTAGCAGATGTGTGGACATGGTCATAAGTGCCGGCGAGAAACTAAGCTGCCGACTCATGGCTGCACTGTTGAACGACCGAGGAGTTGGTGCTGCTTACATTGACTTGTCTGATGCCATAGACTTTGCTGCCGGCGTTCAAGTGCTGGATCAGGAGTTCTACGACCGTCTAGCCAAGCTCTTTGCCGAAAGGGTAAATGCCTACCCTGGCAAAGTACCTGTGCTCACGGGGTACTTCGGCCTCGTTCCAGGAGGCCTCTTGGACAAAATTGGGCGTGGATATACTGATCTATGTGCTGCATTGGTAGCTGTTGGATTGAATGCCCAGGAATTACAGGTCTGGAAGGAAGTGGATGGAATTTTCACTGCTGACCCTAGAAAGGTTCCCACGGCACGGCTACTCTCTGCCATTACCCCGGCAGAAGCGGCTGAGCTCACCTTCTATGGCTCGGAAGTTATCCACCCTTTCACCATGGAGCAGGTCATCCGGGCCAAAATACCTATCAGAATCAAAAACGTTATGAAACCGAAGGGTAGCGGCACCATAATATTCCCTGACTCACGCTCAGAACTAGAACGAACCACACCCGGTCATGATCCCAAGTTCTTCCGCACACGAGGCCCTCACTTTTGGGCTCACAGCGAAGGCCCTAAACGACCAACGGCTGTGACAGCAAAACATAAAATCTTGGTTATCAATATTCACTCTAATAAACGATCCCTCTCACACGGATTCTTTGCCGGGATATTTTCTGTCCTTGACAAGTGGAGACTATCTATCGACCTTATCTCGACTAGTGAGGTACATGTTTCCCTAGCTTTACATTCGGAATTACCTCTTCTCAATGGTGTTGGTCGTGATGAATACCAAATCATCGACGAAGACCTTCGTGGGGCAATCCAGGACCTGCGAAGATATGGAACGGTAGACATTATACCGGAGATGGCCATTTTGAGTCTTGTCGGACAGCAGATGAAAAATATGGCTGGTGTAGCTGGTCGCATGTTCTCCGTACTCGGAGAACACAACGTGAATATCGAAATGATTTCACAAGGTATGACCGAATTTTCTGCTAATGATCATACAGTTATTCGACGCTAACTTTCATGATAATTAGGCGCCAGCGAAATCAACATATCCTGCGTGATAGAAGAACGTGATGCCGACCGAGCCATCAATATCCTTCACACCAATCTCTTCACTTTCCTCGAATAACCTGGCCTCTACAGAATAGGCTAATTGCATCATCTCAAGCGATATTTCACATGCCTTTAAAAAAATATTGGCCAGTTTCATTTTTTTTTTTGCTTTCTTTCATCTATTTTTTTTTGATACCCCTTCCATTATCTAACAATTTCTTCTTTGACTCTTCCGTTGTTTCTCCCGAAGATATTAAGGATATGAGAAGTGGCTATGCCCCATTCCAACAATGGAGCTAGACTTGCAAATTCTACATCTGCATAACCTGTCAAGGCGCTAGCTGCGAACTAACAAGGGTTAAACACTGTTTTTTTTGTTGTTATTTCAGCGATGTTTTTCTTTTCATTTGCCTTGGGCCAGCTTTGGCCTTAGGACTACCATAGACAAAGGCATCCAATCTCTGCCTATGCTGCAATATCAGCAATATACAAAATACCTCCGCAATGGAGACATTTACATAGAAAATATACTCTCTACGGAAAGCTCTACTCAATGCTTCCATGATACTTAGCTATTGTCCACCCTCGCCAGTTCAACGCCAACCAAAAAGATGAGAACTATCTCGTATCAATTTCATCTCGAATCCAGGCCAACCATTCCTTCGTTTTATAAATATTCAAATAATTGCTTCGTATGCATCTTCATTTCACTTGAATTAGCGGTATACATATAATACAAGGGGCTTAACCCGCTTAATCCCTACAAGGGCAGGAAGCAAGGCAGCCAAAACCGTCCATCCCATCCGGTATGTCGAGAGCCAATTCTAACCCAAACAAGAACTAGGTACGTCCTCAACAGTAGCAAAACTATACAGTATCCACGTAGTTAACAGGTTCGTTGCGTACTCGTCATCTACCCTCTCAGTCCCGTCATAAATCGAAGTTCTCGTCTATTGGCTCCCTCTCAGAGATTCCAAGTGGTTTATGACGGCGAGGTTGGCGTCCATCCATCGGTTGACGCAATTTTGTGCGCACGAAGACTCGTTCTTCTCCAGTGTATTGCGGCTGATTTTTCCCTGAATGCATTTTGTCCAACATACGTTGGTAAGATGGTGGACCGCTAGAGCGAGAAGGAATATTTATTAGCTATGGTTTGAACTTGCAATTATCTCCGCTAGTGTATCCGGAGAGTAGAGATGCGGAGCGAGGGATAGATGTGATAATTACTTTGTTGGACTTGTATTTTCTGCTGTTCGTTGCTAAGGATTTGTTGCAGGTCTTGTTTGTCTGCTGGGGAGAGCTTGGACGGGTCGATTTGGACTTGCTGCTCCATGCTTTCGGGGTATTGGGCTGTTGGTTGTTTTTTGGGATGTGTACTGAGATGAGGAAGCGAAATGTCGTCCGCGTGAAATAAACAAGTACAATTGATGTCTGTTGTAGAAGATCAAATTATTCGTTGGACTGGATGTACTTTTTTGATAACGTAGAAAAGCCTTTGAAAAGACAAAAACCCCAAGGCGGCGAGCACCGGCAGAAAAAACCATATTACGTAATATTCAAGCTCAGAAAAAAACAAAGTTTCCGTCCGCGATAAGCAGTGCAGCCAGTCAATATTTGAAGATTGATATAAGACACACGACCAGCTGTTGTTTGACATTCACCTGGCCTCTTTACATTCTCTCGATACCTTTATCCGACGGATCTGATTACCTTGGAAGCATAGCTCAGCAAAGATTCAAATATGCCGCCGATCCGCAGTGCGCGAACCCGCAAGGCCCCCCCAGATGGCTTCGACGATATCGAAGATACCCTCCTTGAATTCAGCAATAAGATGAAAGATGCTGAAAACGCCTCTCACGAAGGCAAGAAGAGACACGAGGTATTATGGCCCATATTCCAAATCAGCCACCAGCGTAAGTTCCCCCTGTGCCGTTTCATTTTACCCAGTTCTACACTCCCGTCAACTGGGCAAAAGGGCTGATGGGTTCTCCGTACGAACGTTGGATAGGGTCCCGATATATATACGACTTATACTATGAGAAAGAAGCGATATCAAAAAAGCTTTATGACTGGCTACTCAAGAACGGCTACGCGGACGCCAACCTGATAGCTAAATGGAAGAAACAGGGCTATGAAAAGGTACGTTTTTACGCACCGGTGTTTATCTTTTGACGAGGGTTGGAAGAAACAAAGCTGACGTTGTATAGCTGTGTTGTCTACGATGCATTCAGACCAAGGAAACCAATTTCAACGCTACTTGTATATGTCGTGTTCCGAAGGCGCAGCTGAAGGAAGACCAGGGAATACAGTGCGTGAGCTGCGGGTGTCGCGGTTGCAGTAGTAGTGATTGAGTCGAATCTCTTTTATTTTTGAGGTTCTGATTGGGACTTGGATTTGGACTTGGACGTGATGCACCACAGATGGACAGGTAGGCAGACAGACGGGTGTGGAGATACATGTCTGTCTTGTCTCTTGTCTATGCAGATGCAAGGAATCGCGTGTGTGACGGCATTATTCATTTTTCTTTTCTTTCGGTGGTCTGGAAGCGGCGTTCCATTATTTGGTTTCCAAGCTATGATGATGGAGTTTTTTTATTGTATGTGTGTTTCAGCCTGGGCTTTGTACTGCTGGTTTGAGTTCGTATCTCTTGCCATTGGATTTTCGATATTCGTGTTTCTTAGAGTCGCCGCTTTGGGCGATGAATACTGTATAGATACCCACCAAATCCAGAATATGCTATACATGAATATAACATTAATACGACTCTCCACCATCAAGGAATAGAAGAGCTTGATTTGGATATAAAATGGTAAAAATAAGTTGATATTTTGTTCAAGCGGCATCTTGACTGCTAAAGGCCATCAAACACCAAAGTAAAACAACATAGACAGAGAAACAGGAATTAAAACTCGTTAGCCATGATCCATAAACATCAACACATTAGGGTCATTGCAAAATTCCGCCCTATTCCCGTTCCCTGTCCGTGTCCGTGTCCGTATCCCATCCTGTCCGTTAAAGCACCTTTGCAAATAACAACGAACTCCATGCTAAGAAATAGAGAAGCAACAAGTAAAGTGGGGGGAGGGGGAGTAAAAGGGAGAGGTGACGTGGAATAGGCGGATGGAGGAGATAAAAGGAATGAAGAGGATAAAAGCCCCAAAAGCAATGCAAAGAGTTTTGTTTTAAAAAAGAAAAAGGGAAGCCAACCCACAAAGCCCCCGACTGCCTGACTTTACCGCCCGAAAGATACCAAAAACATGACCGAATAAAAGATGACGGGGGAAAAAAAGGCATGTACCAACAATTTAACCACATATTCTGCCAGTCAGAGCAGATAGGCACGACTGGCGTGGGATAAAGAAGCTCGAGGAATGGCAATAGTAGAGCAAGAAATCGAGGGGAGGTCGGGATTAGGAGTAAGCGGATGCAGGAGAAGGGAGGCTGATGTATATGTATGCTGGTAAGAGGATGAGCAAAAGGACCCAACATGCGAAACCAAGGGTAATAATGACCCAAATGGCGGTCCAAGTGAGAATGGCATATGATCATTTTGATGATAGTTATAATCCGGTGTTAAGATGAGTTTGATAATGACAATTGTCCATGTGGTCCAAGAAATTGAAGACCAATCATGTTGTAATAGAAAGAAGTATGGGTGGCTCAAAATCGAATGCCGCCTTTAGGACCATGGCTCGAACGCGATGTCTTACCAAGGAACTGTTTGGGAGACCGTTCTTCCTTTGGCTGTCCAATTTTCTCGAATCCCTGCAAGAGATCTACGCCATCGACGTCGCCTGCACCATCTTCGCTGAAAAGATTGAATGAGAACAGCTCATCGTTAGCGGCGTCGTTATAGCGACTCTGGTCAAGGCGTTTGCAAGGAGACTCCTGAAACCTGTAGGCTTTGGACTTGTCGATAGGTGTCTTGAGGCGGGTGTTGGCGCTCAGGGCAGTGATGTCAGCGAGAACACCTGCTCCAAGGCCGTCACTCTTGACAGAGCGCTTCTCAGGGGAGCAGAAAGGGGGAGTACCAATGCTGGCGAGGAATTGGTCTGAGAATGGGTCAAATGGCAGACGGAGATTGTCATTGGGGGTATATACTTCGTCATGGATGTTGAATGCCGGGCTCCATGGCTGCTGGAGCTCTTCACCAAGTCCAAGACGCTTGATTGGGGAGTTGACCATCTGCTGGATCTTCCGACGATGGTTCTGGAGGTTAGTGTTAGGGGAGAGGAACGCTGGTGGCTTGACTGGCTTCTTAAACTTGATAGCCGGGGTCAAGGGGGCAGCATGGATGGAGATGTATTCATTTCTAAGGGGTGATGAACCGACGGTGGCCTGTGCTGAGTCTCGGAGAGTGCCGAGACGCATAGGGCTGACATCATGAGAGGAAGATCGAATACGAGCGATCTCCTCTTCAGCACGGCCCCGTTTGATACGCGGAGGTTCGATATCTAGCTCTGATGTTAAAATATGGCCAGCAGCAACACGGGGCCTCATGGCTGAAGACTCGAGGGAGGAGTAATAACCACTGTCATTCATGTTGGAGGGCTTACTACTGCGCCTCTTTGAACGCGAGACACCGGCCGAGGACGAGGTAGGCCGGGAGGGAGTTGGAGGGGTAGCCTGACGGTGGAATATGCGTGGGGCAACTGGTGGAGACGAGCGCATTGCCTGTAGCGGCGAAGAGAAATGCTGCTCAATTTGCGCCAGAGATGGGGCCGGTTGCTCATCACTAACGTCATCTTCCTGAAGAGCTGGGTCGGAGGCAGGGAGGGTGGCATCAGACGAGAGATCTTGGAGGTTTGACGCTGGAGCCACGTCCTGCGACTCAGCAGTGGTGGATGGTAAATAATTGATAGTAGAAAGACCCGTATTGCTTGACGGCGGGGGTAAGTCTGGCTGTTTTGGCGTGCTCAAAGGCGGCGCCGCCGCCGACTGAGGTTGGGAAGCTGGAATGGTAGACATGATGGGTACTTTGCGGAAGGGTTTGTCCTTGAGGAACTGGCCCTCCATTCCAGGCTCAATGATCCAGTAGTGGCCCTTTCCGGGGTCGTCCTTGGGCCGTTCTTGCTTGATAAACGCCTTGTGAAGACTGAGATTATGGCGGATGCTGTTCTGCCATCCAAAGTCTCCAGCTCGGTAGAAGGCAAAGTTGTCTGATATCCACTTGTAGATCTGAGACAAGGTAAGACGGCGGTTAGTAGCGCGTAGGATGGCCATTCCTATGAGAATGGCGTAGCTGTAAGGTGGTTTGGAGCCGTCATCCTCGACGGGGGGCATCTCATGGGGTTCTGGCAGCCGGGGGGTCACAGGAGGCGGCTGCTCGAGCTCCTCACGCTTGAGCTTCTTTGCAGCAGGCACCATGTCACTGCTGCCAACAGTGAGTCTCCGTTTGGCTGGAGCATGCATCCCTGAAGCCGCCGAAGCAGAAGCAGAAGAGGCAGATGCAGAGCGGGAGTGAGAGTGAGAAGACGAGCGTGGTGGTGGAGGGCCCAGAGAAGAAGAGGAAGAAGAGTAGTTGTCCTGATGGTGGAAGGCCGTCCTGCCGGCAGAAGAAGAAGCAGAAGCAGAAGTAGAAGAAGAAGACCCAGAGGGCTTGGGAGGCACACTGGGGAATGTGGTGAAGAGCGGCAGGCGTGAAGAGGGCGGCGGCAAGGGACGCCGAGCCTGGTGGTGTTCCTGAGAAAGCGGCTTCTTCGCGGGCGAGTCTGTGGGAAACCTGGCAGGCTTTGGAGCCGAGATGGGGAGGTATTCCAGCTTGTTGCTGTTGTGTGCGAGGTGGGCGCTCGTGCGACGCTGGTGCTTGATAGGGGACGTGCTGCTGTGGGCGCAGAAGGGGTCCAGCGAGGGCGGGTTCAGGACGAGGTCGCGGTTGTTCCTGGCCGAGTTCCCCAGAGGCTGCAGCGGCATCGGCGACGGCTGCAGCTGTTTACGCTGCGACTTGGGCCCTGCGCCTGGCTGTGACGATGATGAGGAGGATGATGATGATATTGTTGATGATGATGATGGCTGTGATGCTGGCTGTGGTGCTGGTTGTGGTGCTGGCGCTGGTGGTGCGGCGCCTGGAGGGTCCTGGTATATGCGTAGCGGCGGCGGATGGCGCGTCGAAGCCATCGTGAAAACGGCAGCGACGGTGAAGATGAAGCCGCAGACGGTGATAATCAGTCTCTTGACGCGTCGAGAGCGTCTGGTTCACGCGATCGATGGTCGTGGCGGTGGTGATGAAGCCGGTGATGGGCTCGTCGCATGCGCAACGCGGCTAGCAGTGATAGTCGATAGTCGATAGAAGTGGGTAGCAGTCGATAGCAGTCGATAGAAGCAGATAGCTGTGATGTCGCTGTCACTGTCGCTGTCGCTGTCACTGTCGCTGTCGCTGTCGATGATGCTGTCGATGTCGCTGTGGTGTCGCTGTCGATGGCGATGATGGCGATGATGCTGGCTGAAGGAGCGAAAGTGGGAGGGGAGAAAAAGCCGGCGAGTCGCAGTCCTTTAGCTGGTCTCGCTCGCTGGCAGCTGAAACACGCAACGCCAAAAAGAAGGCTCGCTGGTTGGCCACCGCCGGATCTCGCGCCGCCTGCCTGGACGGAGGATAAGCAATTTCAAGATGATGATAATAAGCAATAATATAACGATGATGATGATGATGATGATGATGATGAAATTGAAATTAGCTACTCCATACAGCGAGAGGAACTGCTTCTCCCTGTTTCTCCCTGGCGCTCTGGGTCTCGCTGCTGCTTTTTATTTGCTGGCGGCGGCGGCGCTGCCGATGCGACTCAGGCGGGATTCACCGCAACTCGCGCGGGCTCTGGCTGAGTCGATCTACCGCAGGCTACTGTACGATTACGGGGCCCGCCAGGCCCAAAAGCCTGTCCACTAGGGGCCCGGCGGAGAGCAGAGCCCACTGCCAGCGCGTTCGGGCAGAGACGAGCATGGAAGACAGGGCGGCGACGGCGCCCAGTCAGGCCGCAAGGTGCGGGCAAAAGAGGCGAGTCAGGGGCCGGAGAAAAGGAGCAGAACAAGCGCTGGGGTTGCATCCAGGGACTGGACTTGAACTTGACTCGAACTAGTTATAGAGTTGGCTTGACTTTGTTTGCCGTCTATGTTACGGAGGAGTGTAGATGTGGCTTTTTGGTGTGTGTGTTTATTTCTTAAATACTATAACTAGGATGGCTAGCAAGGTCCGCGGGACGGCCTCGACCGGGCGAGTTTTTGGATCATCATGATATCTTTGGTAGCATTTGGTTTCTTTCTTCTGCTTGTTGGTTGGCGTTGTTGTGTGTTTTGCAACAGCCGGTTGATATCTTTGGTAGGTCACATAAAAATTTAAGAAAACAGCAAACCCCGTCTCGTTTTTCTCCCACCCCATTAAACAATTCCGAGCTTGGTGGCTGCAATGTCGAGCGCATCAATGTCTGGCGTTAGTCGGGCAAAGACCTTCTTCGAGCCGTCCGGTCTGCAGCACTGTTAATCACACTATATTCCACCAAAAAAAAAAAAAGATCAAAAGAGACTAGGATGAACCCACCGGATGAGAGTGTTGAGCTTGACGGTATCTATGTCGTAGAGCTTCTTGAGAGCAAGCTTGATCTGGCGCTTGTTGGCCTTGACGTCGGCAATGAACACCAGCGTGTTGTTCTCCTCAATCTTCTTCATGGCAGACTCGGTGTTGAGCGGGTGCACAATCACCTGGTGGTGGTCCATACGGGGGGCATGGGGAATCGACTTTCGGGGGTACTTGGGCGATCGAGACAGCTGCAGAGTCTTTGGTCGGTGGAAGGTCGCTGATGTTCTGACCTTGCGGACTTTGTGCGAGTGAACCTGTGGGACGGCCGTCGTCGTTAATCTTTCAATTCTTTTTCCCTCCCCATTATAGCCAAATAGTTTGAAAAGCTTCTCGTCTTTCGCTTCTTTTTGTTTTATGGTTGCTCCCCCTTCAATGGACATAGCTTACCCCCTTCATGACGGCCTTGGAGGCAGCACCAGCCTTGGAGCTGGCCTTGGTGGCTGTATATCACCTCGAGTTAGCATTCATCTCCCAAACGCACAATTCGCATCCTTTTTCTCATATAGATAGATTCCAGATATCGGTGGATATTGGGGCTCGCTGGGATCGCTTCGTCGTCGGTACCGCGCATCGGCGGCATCGTGGGAGCAAGGAATACGCACCTTTCTTGGTATCCTTGGGAGCCATGGCTGTCGATTCACGGCGAAGTTCGTTGTCGCTGGTGGTGTCTTTTCGCTGCTTCGAAACGCGAAATTCTTCGATTTCGTCGACTTTTTTGCTTTTCGTCGATTTTCTCGCTTAGTTGAGTTCGTGGGGCACGTGATGCTGACTAAGACGGACTCGCAGAAGAAACGACGACGATAGAAGAACTACAACTGATAATTATCGTAGAAGACAGAGAGTAAAGAGAAGGAGAAAGAAAGAGGTCGAGGAGGGCTGAGATGAAGAGGAAAAAGTCGCTGGCGCAGGGACGGCCGCCGACAGTCAAGAAGCCGGCTGCGTCGCTGTCAGCCAGGGCAACCCGAGACCTCATCCGGAGCCACCACCAGCTACACAAGGCGCGCGCAAGGGCAGCAGCAGAAGGCAACGAGGAGCTGGTGCGGCAGCTGGACAGCGAGATAGCCGCGAAGGGCGGGCTGAAGAGCTACCAGATCGCCAGCAAGAAGGGCCAGTCGAAGGAGCGCGGAGGTGATTCCAGCCATGTCCTGCTGCAATGGCTGAAGCCCAAGTTACTCGGTGGCATCCAGGGGCAGCCAGAAAACGGCACAGGCAAACTGCGAGTACTAGAAGTTGGCGCGTTGAGTAGTAGGAATGCTTGCTCGATGGTGAAGGCGCTGGACGTTACGAGGATCGACCTCCATTCGCAAGAGGCGGGAATACTGCAGCAAGACTTTATGGAACGGCCATTGCCAACTACCGACGGGGACAGGTTTCACATTATCAGCTTGTCCCTGGTGCTCAATTACGTCCCCGATCCCGCGGGCAGAGGCGAGATGCTACGCCGGACAGTCGAGTTTCTCACATCGAGCGTCAAGGACGACGTTCTGCCAGCGCTGTTCCTAGTACTACCGGCTGCCTGTGTGTTGAATTCAAGATACCTGACCGAAGAGAGGTTAGACGACATCATGGCATCGCTCGGATACCAGCAGCTACAGCGGAAAGTGTCCTCGAAGCTCATTTACTACCTCTGGAGATACACTGGTGTCCACGTTAGGACCAAGGGGGTTGCCTTTCCAAAACAGATCATCAACCCGGGGCCAGGCAAGAATAACTTTGCCGTTGTTCTGAAACCTTCTGCTTGATAACAACACATCGGGATACAGCATCAAACTGCCATGCTGTAGTGAATAGCAATCAAGGAATCCCCCAAGTGGTCAACCATGGATACGCGAGGAGTTCCTTGGCTGTCCCGTGGTCCTCTGGACACGGCATTATTAGCATGCCTCGGACAAAGTCGAGGATCATCCCCTTGTTTCTCCCGCTGAAGATCACTTCAGCCTTCTCTAGACTGTTGCCCTTGGGAATCGGACAATATGCTATCCATTTGCCTCTCGCCTCTATTAGTTTCGGACACGGCAGAAGCTCAACGTTGGACTTACCATCTTCAGAAATGAATTCTTCCTTCGGATTCCTTTTTTGGGGCAGATCCAACGGCGGTGGGCCTAGCAGCCCGATTATCTTTGCCAGGTGGGCTCGAGTGGTATAATAGGTCTTCTCCGGACTGGGGTCTGTCCCATAGAACAAGTGGCTACCCTCAATAACGCCCCAGATCTGTGGCTCTCTTGCCAGCCGTGCCCATTATTAACATTCCAGGTTCAAAAGAGGAGAATTCACCATGGCTCCAGCATTCCATATACCTGCTGGGTAGCTCCATGGTGCCTGATGTAGAACCTCGGGAGATCTGTACACCTGTGGCTGTGCATATTGATCTCGCTTAACCTCCCCGTCCCGTTTCGCCAACGTCACCTAGCACCATCATGCCCCAGTCGTTCGGCTGGCCAAACCGCCCGGACTTGTACACCGGAGCGCCATTGACGTATTTCCGTGGAGATGGTGTTACCACTTCTTCCTGATCAAAAGACTCGAAGATTTCATCGTCAACAATTGCACGCAGTCTATTACCTGCTCTGATATCTCATTATACGGAGTACTTGTTGCAAGATATATTTTATCTGCGAGTCTCGGCGGAATCTACCTGTGTGGACGAACCTACTCTCTGTGTGAAGATAGTCAAGAGCCAAAAGAAGATGTTGTAGATCAACCTTCAGCAGCTCTACGGAGAACCGGCTGCTAACATTTCTATCGAGAAGGTCTAGTGGCGCTTGAGCAAGGAATTCGTGCTCCTTTCCCCCGTTCCGCTCAATCGGAAACATCTCCACAGCTCTTCTGACGTGCCTACGCCCAGGATGGGACTGGTTCACTCTTGCAATCGCCTTGTACGTTCGGACTTCCCTCTCGCAGGTCCGGTCGTGGTTCCGCGCGCGCATATTATTTTCAATGCATGATAGCCGCCGTAGCGAATGTTCCGAGCCAGCCAGACGGTTGACGTCGAGCCGTATCCTAGCTTACCTAGTACCCGGTAGGAAGAATATACGTCATCGATGTTGATGGAACAGTAGTGGCCTGCTTTGAACATCCCCATAGCCCTTCCTCTTCGAATATGCTTACTGACAGGAACAACCTCAAAGCCACCCCTTGGGAATTGTAGACGGCCCACCGGAGCGCAATTGAACGCATCCTGTGTCTATCGTAACATCCGAGCCATCGGTATCTTCACTCCTGCACCCTCCCTTGCATCTCCGGCGTAGTTACTCGCACTCGGTGTTTTGTCGATGATGATATATCAAACTTCAATGCCCAACTTTTTCACTGCTTACATAATCATTAGACCTGACTTTTTTTTTCACACCCCACAATCAGTCGTCGAGTTCACTGATGGTTAAAGAAAAAAACCACATCTTCGACACGCTGAGCCGGCCAGTGAAACAGTCAGATACGTCTAATACGGCGTAGAGCGTTGGTTTAACGGTCCTCGACTTTTACCGGCCTGCGTGGGCAGTCAGGCTCACCGATCAGGTCCAAACCGAATAATTTGGCTGCATCTTGGGCTGAGCTGAGAGAGCCATCTATCCAACATGAGCGCGCCGCAAGGAGCAGGCGAGGCGGAGAAGAACATCGAGATATGGAAGGTCAAGAAGTTGATTAAGCGCCTGGAGGCAGCGCGTGGAAATGGAACTTCAATGATTTCGTTGATTATCCGTAAGTTGGATGATGCTGCCCAGGTGGTTGTGTGCCCCGCTAACTCTGCTCTCCAGCTCCAAAGGATCAGATCTCGAGAGCAGCGAAGATGTTGGCTGAAGAATTCGTATGTTACCTATATCCCGATACTAAGACCAGTATAAGGAACTTTTATCCTAACAAATATCCTAGGGAACCGCGTCTAACATCAAATCCCGAGTTAACCGTCTATCCGTTCTGTCAGCCATTACATCTACCCAGCAGCGTCTGAAGCTGTACACCAGGGTTCCTCCAAATGGTCTTGTGGTCTACTGCGGCGAAATTATCACTTCCGAAGGAAAGGAACGTAAAATCAACATTGACTTTGAGCCGTTCAAGCCTATCAATACCTCCCTTTATCTCTGTGACAACAAGTTCCACACCGAGGCCCTCAGCGAACTTCTCGAGTCCGACCAAAAATTCGGCTTCATTATCATGGACGGAAATGGTGCACTCTTTGGTACTCTATCCGGAAATACCAGAGACGTCGTGCACAAGTTCAGCGTCGATTTGCCCAAGAAGCACGGTCGTGGTGGTCAGTCTGCTCTGCGTTTTGCCCGTCTCCGTGAGGAAAAGCGTCACAATTACGTCCGTAAAGTTGCCGAACTTGCTGTCCAGAACTTCATTACTGCCGATAAGGTCAACGTTGCCGGTTTGATTCTTGCTGGTTCTGCCGATTTCAAGAATGACCTTAACCAGTCCGATCTCTTCGACAACCGTCTCCAGTCCAAGGTCATCAAGGTCGTTGACGTGTCATATGGTGGTGAAAACGGATTCAACCAGGCTATTGAACTTTCCTCCGAGACTCTCGGCAACGTCAAGTTTATTCAGGAGAAGAAGCTTATTGGCAAGTACTTTGAGGAAATCAGCCAGGATAGCGGACGTGTTTGCTACGGTGTTGAAGATACCCTGAAAGCACTCGAGCTCGGTGCCGCTGAGACTCTTATCGTTTTTGAGAACTTAGACATCACTCGTTGGGTTCTCAGGCCTTCCAGCGGATCTGATATTGTACTCCACACCACCAAGGCCCAGGAGGCCAACAGAGAGCAGTTCATGGACAAGGAAACCGGACAGGAAATGGAAATCGTTGATCAGGGATCTCTCCTTGAATGGCTTGCTGAGAACTACAAGGATTTCGGTGCCACTCTGGAGTTTGTTTCTGACAAGTCTGGCGAGGGTAATCAGTTCGTCAAGGGCTTTGGTGGTATTGGAGCCATGCTCCGCTACAAGGTTAACTTCGAACAATTAGCCGATGTTGAAGAAGACGATGATGAATTCTACGATGGTATGTACTGCACGATGGCTTTTACATTGTGTACCGATATGCTGACCATTGCAACTAGATTGACAATATGGCGACCTCGCGGGTTGCGAGGACGACCGCCCGGAAATCCCGTCGGGGAGTGTTCTGACGACTAGCCCTTTGAACCACGTCAACCGCGTCAAGGGCAATACAAACGCATCAGCCGTTCAGATCTGTGCCCCACATCACCTCGCCAGCTCGAAGCTTCTCAAAGGTACGTTTTATAATGTTCTCTCAGATTGGTCTCTACATAATATCGCTAACTTCTCCTTCAGGACCATCCAAGCTTCGCAACGTGGCCACCTCAAATTAAAGTGGCCATAGCAGAAACATATGCTACGAGGGTAGACTGTTTGACGGACGTTATTCCAGCGTATCTTCTTCGCTTCGTCAAAACCCACTTCATAGTTGAAGACCGGATAAGATCGATGCCTTTTTTTCTTTTTTTCGAATCTGCTCGCTATCATTTCAGATTCGAACTTGAGCTGGGATAGCACTTCTCGGTGGAAACCTTCTCCTCCTTGCTTCCTACTAAATGATTCAAATTGTGTGCTTTTTCTGCTGTCGTCTTCTTGCGCCCTGCCTCGCTCTATGATTTGGAATATGAAAGCCTGCGCTTTGGAGTTTGATGACTTAGTTCTTTCTCAAACTACGTTGTTAAACTCAAGTGTAGGCTTATCCAGGGTCGTGTGCTAGTGTTTTTCTTCAATCCATAAAAATATACGCTCGTTACCTGCTATACTTTCTGGCACCGGCTATTCACAACAAGTCTATGGCTATGTCACACCTCCCTCCTTATTTTTAGATATAATGCGTAAATTGGATCATGTAGCTGCTTCTTTAAATCCCTTTATAATGCCGTATTCCCGAAAAAAATGCCCTGCCTTTTTACTTTTCCATAAGTTGATCTTCCCAACTCCCTAGATTTCTGCAGGTCTGCGTAATATCCCGCAGCTCGTCTATGACCTTTTCCACGACATGATCATCGTGAACACCATATACCCTCTGACACTCTACCAGAAAAACGTACTGCCACGCTTTAACACCTCCTGGGCGAGAATTGATACTGGTCAGATTGAGGCCATATTTTTTGAACACATGTAACGCGTCCGCCAAGGCACCGGGAGACGTATGATCAACCATAAAGGTGATAAGAGACTTGCATTTTGAACCCGGATCGGAGCAAGACTGTGTCTTCTGGGGTGGCTTTATTGCCTGGGTGCGGTTTGATTTGAGGTTCTGTAAGATAAGGAATCTGGTTGCGTTGGAAGGGTCGTCTTCGATGTTGGCCTTGACAACCTGTAGACCATTGATACTACCTGCAAGTTCACTTCCAATAGCTGCACTTTTGGGATCGTTGTCCTTGCTGACTATCTCAGCAGCCTTGGAGGTTGAAGAGGCATCTTGCTTCTCCACCCCACTGTACGCTGAAAGAAACTTTGTACATTGCCCCCAGACTTGCGGGTGGGAGTAGAATTTGGATACCTCCGGGTTAGGCTCAGAAGAGTTCCCGTGCCCTTCTATATTGCAATTTGTCAATTATGCATTCCATAAATGCTGGACGTGGGCCTGCTTGAACCAACCTTGTGCTTTTTTCATCAAAAGACAGTGATGGACACTGAGATAATATTCCCCAGACACAGTAATATCAGGGTATAAGTTTTCACGGTCTGCTAGCAAATCGAGAGTCTGGACAACAGCACCATTTGAAGAGTTTTCTAGTGGTATAATGGCATAGTCGGCCTCTTGAGACTGGACGGCTGAGAAGGCATCGTTGAAAGAAACCTCTGCTTTAAGGGTGTTATTGTTTGAGCTAAAATATTCTATAGCTGCCTATTGAAGCACGCATAAGCTCAAGGCTAGCACAACAATCGTATTATTATATATACTCACTTGATGTGAAAAGGAGCCTAGCGGTCCAAGAAATGCAACGACGGGCTGGAGCAAAGTATTGGCACCCAAGCTCGGAGTCATGGAGGGCATCATAGCAAACACTTTATATAGAAATAAAGGCACTATTTTATCTTTTTAGAGATTATCTGCCTCTCTTCGCCTCCTTCTTTCGAATTCTTAGTTATTCAATACCTGTACTTGCGCACATGCTGGCGGTCTAAATATTGAGTCGTTGCGGAGTTGTAGTTTGTTATCCGAGATCGGCGATCCTTTTTTTAAGTTATTTGGCAAGCCGCAAACATCAAACTTGCTCCAGGCCGTAAACATCCAGCCAGCTACACCACCGCAATTTACTAGATACCAAGCAGAGACAAGTGACCGCCACGGATGTGCGCCTCCACGGAACACGCGAGGTAGATATGGTCCAATTGGCCCGGGTATGCCTTCGTCCGCGGCTTACAAGCTTTTTGCAAAGGCGCGCTTTGGCTACAGCTCTGGCACCATCAAACATTAAAGGTGAGCTGGTACGGCGCCGGCTGCCTCTGATATACGACTATCTCTCGCCGCAGCCATCGCATCTTCTGAGCCTGTCCCTCGATAGCCTTAATGTGTCAACACCCGGCTCATCCGCTTCTCCTGAGTCCCAATGGCGTCTCCCGTCCATCACCAGACCGGTCCCCATGCCTCGCGGCCACCATCTAATATATTTCCCACCTCAAGTCCCTTCGTCTGAACTTCTTCCAGACGGCTGTGATGAATTGCACTCTCCCGGCCAGCCATACAATCGCCGGATGTGGGCTGGTGGATCGGTCCGGTTTTTCGGTGATGGCGGCCCGCTGCTCAATGGACAGCGAGCAGTCTGTGTCGAAGGGATACGCGAGGTGAATATAAAAGGCAAGGAAGGCGATGAAAAGATTTTTGTTGGAATCGAAAGACGGGTAGCCACCGTGGATGAACATGAGAGTGACGATGCTGTCCGGAGTAGAGTCTGGGCGCAATCCGAGGAGGAACAAGGAGCCAGTATGGTAATTGAAAGGCGTAACCTTGTCTTTATGAGGGACAGGACATCAAAGGAAATTGAAGCTGCGAAATCTGCTGCTAATACATCTCCACGAAGGATAATGAAAAGTAATAGCTGCCGGCATCCACAGTTTTGATCTTGTGCTAACATACGATGGCCCAGTTCCTGCTACAGCTGAATTCTCCCAGTCCATCATACCTTCCAAATCACTTTTGTTCAGATACTCTGCCCTTACATTCAATGCCCATGCCATCCACCTTGATCGAGACTATGCACGTAACGTTGAAGGATACAACGACCTCCTTGTCCATGGACCTCTTACGCTCACGATCATGCTCAGCACATTCCAGAAACACGCGGCTACATTAGGACAGGTTGTATCAAGTATTGAATATCGAAACCTATCTCCCCTTCTAGTGGAGCATGAGATGAAGGTATGCGCTGCACGCAAGTCTAACGGATCCACGGGCAGCTGGGATATCTGGGTAGAGGACAACAATGGGGGACTGGCAGCTAAAGGAACCATCAAGACTGTGCCAGTTAAATCCGACTAAGGCACTGTATCCTGGCCGTGTGCTAGTTGATATATACATGTAATGGTTGGTACATGGCGTCGTTCTCCCTGTATCCCTAATCCTGAAGAGCGTGAGTTCCATCTTTGGGCTTCGCCTGGCCGCTAGAAACACGTGCCGTGCGATTTTTAAGAAATGCTTGGAAAGAGAAACTCGCGAGCTGAAAACAACAACTAGTTCCTTTATCATATCCCCAGCCTCGCCCACACCGTTACTATGGCACCACGTACCAGGGAAGAGCTCGTTGCTCTAGCGGTTATGGATCCCGCCATGGCCACTATCCTGGAAAATGGCCCAGCAGTGCGCCCTCCAAGGCCATCAGACCCTTACTATGGGCGTAAGGACCATACAGCAGCTAGGGAACACAGGGCCACTATATTGAGAGAAAAGTGGGGGCTTCGATACCTTCCTGGACCGATTGATGAAGTTGCTGAAGAGGACCGGAACATACCCGTCCGTGATGGCTCAGAAATAACAGTCAGAATATACAAACCGGTAGCTAAGAAACAGGATGGAAGCCCATTAATCGTCATGTTCCACGAGGGTGGCTGGGGTATGGGAGATTTGACAGATGAAGAAGTTAACTGTCGACTCTTCTCTCGGGACCTGGGTGCCATTTGCGTCAACGTGGAGTACAGGCTTGCTCCAGAGTATCCATTCCCGACCTGGATCAATGACTCTTGGGATGCCCTTCAATGGTGTGCTAGGAATGCCTCGGCGCTCGGTGCCGACCCCTCAAGGGGATTTATAGTTGGGGGCGGGTCAGCAGGCGGGAATATAGCCGCCGTTCTTGCACATATTGCACGAGACGAACAGCTATCTCCACCTTTAACTGGCCAATATCTCTGTGTCCCTGCCATTATGTGCTTTCTGCCACCTTCTCATATCCCCGTTCAATATCAAGCGGAATTCCTCTCCCACCCCCTTGTGACGCCTTGCAATGACCCCATTCTTAATGTGTCACTGGGATCATTCACTCCACTTGCGTCGGTTCCAAGGTTCATACTCAGCCTTCTGCCCTTGAACCTTTTAGCAAAGGTATACAGTATTGCGGGAATGAGTGGTGATATGTCTAGTCCTTTGTTTGTGCCTTTCCTCTATGGTCAAGGGGAACGCGGCCATCGGGATCTCCCGCCAGCCTACTTTCAAGTTTGTGGACTAGATCCCCTGAGAGACGAGGCTCTGATATATGAACGAGTTCTAAGGGAGGAGGCTGGAGTGAAGACGAAAGTTGACATGTATAAGGGTCTCGGACACTACTTTTGGACGAATTTTCCCGAGCTTGAAGTGAGCAGGACCTTTGTGGAGGACACCGTCAAAGGCATGAGATGGCTACTGGAAGGAAAATGTTAATACAGACTGCACACTACCGCAGACTTGACTCTTAGTAATGACTATCCGTATTACCTCCCTCGACAATATAGCTACTTACTGTAATGCTATCCCGTGTATACAGTTCCTGCTTATATAAAGGTATCACGTGGGTTAAATGGAATTACATAATTCCGTAATACTAAATTAGAGTTCGGGCTGGAAAAGTTTTTGTCTTGCTTCCAAAAAGCCACATATAAAAAGACCACGAAAGCTTTTCTTCCACAACTCCAACTCAGAAATACACACAAACACCAAACACTTTTGTAGCAAAAGCGGTTTGGTAGTTTAGTGAAGATGGACAAATTCTGGGCAGCACCGCCAGTCAGCAGGTGAGCTTCTATATCTGAGCAAGGGATAGTGTTTGCAGGATACTGACCCAGCTCTGTTAAAGAACGCTGACGGCAGCTACGTTTGTCCAGTCAGTCCTGGTTCATGGGGGGTTTTTGAATGGCATGCATGTTGTCTTCCTCTTACCAAGGATACTTCAGATTCCGCCACAGCTATGGAGACTCGTGACGCCGTTTTTCCTGACTGGAGGAGGCATTGGCTTCTTCTTGGACCTTTACTTCTGTACGGGTCCATGAAATGACAATGAATACCTTACTATATCATGTGAAGATCTCACTAACAGATGCGCAGTATTTCAATACGCCAGCGATATTGAGGTCAATTCGCCTCGTTTCTCTGGACCAGGTGACTTTGTCACCTATGTGATATTCGTAGCTATTTTCATTCTGGTAAGTGGTCATTCATTCCTTGCCTTGCGCGAGGGTTACAAACATGGCCTTTACCCTGTTCTGTCTTCCTTATTTGCAAAACACCTCTTAAATCTGCCCGCCCAGCCCATTCTAGCTGCAGCGGTTCCTGAATTCGAGGGAGATTACCCCTGCACTTCGTGCATACCCATCATTCGCATAATATCAATCCTTCAGGGTATGCATGCGGTGTAGGCATGGTGGGATTGTGGCATGACTTGACCAGTGTTGATGACTATATTACACTGGTTATGCTGCTGCCCTACATTCATATTTCTCTTTGTCGTTCGACTACCTTGTATTTAGTTTTAGAATACCCTTCATATCAACATCCTCCATATCCTACTATCTTCTAGTTCTTAGAGCTGACGCATGTGCAGTTAACCGCGGGCTTGTACTTGCAGTCCTTCGTCTTCCTCGGAGGTACGATGATACCTACCCACAACTCGTACTCATCTATCTACTTCCCTGCGTGGGAAGGCTATCCATGTTTTTCAGTCATTTAGCTAACCCTAATAGCTCTATCTCTCGCTTTTCTCACTACCCTATCTCAAGATAACGCAGGGAAGAAGATGGCTTTCATCTTTTTCCAGATTCCGGCAGAATACCTTCCTTTCGCCAGCTTAATTGCTACCCTTGTCCTCTCTGGACAGCACGCCGCAATCACCCAAGCCTGTGGTATACTGGCAGCCCATCTTTACGAGTTCCTAACCCGTATTTATCCCGACTTTGGGGGAGGCACCAACTACATCCAGACACCCCGCTTCATCCAAAACCTATTTGGATCTAGTGGCAACTACGTCAAAGCACATGGTGGCTACCGCAAGCATCGCCCAGCCGATGGCAATAGCTCCGACTCAAGGAGCAGCGGTCAATCCACCGGAAGCTGGTTTTCGGGCCTGGGAGGAGGGTCATGGAAAGGCAGAGGAGCCGGCAGGAAATTGGGCACTGGTTGAACTACCTGAAGCTTTATGCGGATTAAGGAAACATGCAATCAAATAATCGGCGTTAACAGTGAGGAGGATACAAGGTTACCTACGTACTACTTAAATTTTTATGCAACAGCTTAATGTCAAATTTAATGTGATTACGTAAACTTTAAGTCGCTTAAAGCTGCTCAATGATAAGCTGGCGCGCGGCTATTTGCGTCTATAGGTCTAATAAAATTTCAGTACAGAGGGCGGATCAACTTTTTTGCCCACAGCAAATTTTGACGCGAACAAAAATTCCAGACAGAAAAAAAAAGAAAGCCTTCAAATATTTTTACACCTTGCGACCCAATTGATAGCACCTGAAAGAGTGTTGTCGTCGCGCGCGGTGTTGGGTTTGCAGTGCTAATTGGGTCTTGATACTTTGATTTGTGTGGTTTTCGAGTGTTTTGCCCTACAGTGAAGAGCTAGATTTTTTACGATGGCCGCTACAACTGGCAAGGGCGATGTTGCCGACTACAGCATCAAGCCTGAAGCTGTTGCTCCTCCAATTCCCACCTCAGAATGGCCGCTTCTACTGAAGAACTATGATAAACGTATGTACTTTATGTGCAATTTATGTGGTGGGGGAAATACGTGAGAAAGATCATTCATTTGCTAATCTGTGCGGCCGTTAAATTTCAATAGTACTTGTGCGAACCAGTCACTTTACCCCAATCCCTAACGGCTGCACTCCCCTCAAGCGTGACTTGAAGTCCTATATCAGTTCTGGTGTGATCAACTTGGATAAACCGTCGAACCCGTCGAGTCATGAGGTTGTCGCATGGATGAAGAGAATGCTCAGGTTCGCGCAGCCACTTTCCTCTCACTACTAAAGTTGAATTGCAAGGTAGCTAACTAGCCATTTTTCATTCTCAATAGGGTGGAAAAGACTGGACACAGTGGAACTTTGGACCCAAAGGTTACTGGGTGCTTGATCGTGTGCATTGACCGTGCCACTCGCCTAGTAAAATCGCAGCAGGGAGCCGGAAAGGAGTACGTTTGTGTTATTAGGTTACATGACAAGATTCCCGGAGGCGAGGCGCAATTCGCTCGTGCTCTTGAAACGCTGTCTGGAGCTTTGTTCCAGCGGCCCCCACTGATATCTGCTGTCAAACGTCAGCTTCGTATCCGAACGATTTACGAGAGCAAGCTGTATGAATTCGATAATGACCGACACTTGGGTGTATTTTGGGTCAGTTGCGAGGCTGGTACCTATATCAGAACCCTCTGCGTGCATCTTGGCTTGCTTTTGGGAGTTGGAGCTCATATGCAGGAACTGCGCCGTGTTCGCAGTGGAGCCATGGACGAGAAGGATGGCATGGTGACTCTACATGATGTTTTGGACGCCCAGTGGATGATGGATAACCACCGTGACGAATCGTACCTCAGGAAGGTCATTAGGCCGTTGGAGAGCTTGTTGACCTCATATAAGCGAATTGTTGTGAAGGATAGTGCAGTCAACGCCGTCTGCTACGGAGCTAAATTGATGATTCCAGGTCTCTTGCGGTTTGGTAAGTTCCATAATCAATACCCTTTTGATATTGGCAAATTGCTAAATGCTATATATAGAGGCTGGGATTGAGATATATGAGGAGGTGGTACTCATGACCACCAAGGGTGAGGCCATTGCCATCGGTATTGCTCAGATGTCCACCGTTGAACTCTCAACCTGTGATCACGGAGTAGTTGCCAAGGTCAAGCGTTGCATCATGGAGCGTGATCTTTACCCCAGACGATGGGGTATGGGCCCAGTTGCCCTTGAGAAGAAGAAGCTCAAGGCTGACGGGAAGCTTGACGTAAGTTCATCTGATCAGCTCTTTTTTACCTCTTACATCTCTTGCTAACTTTTGTCTAGAAATATGGCCGCACTAATGCCTCTACCCCAGCCAAATGGCAGGCGGAGTATAAGGATTATGATGCTCAAGCTGCTGGTACACCGAATGCCGCTCCAGCACCTGGTGCTACCACACCCGCAAAGTCTACCCCGGCTGCTCCCGCTGCTTCATCCCCCGAGAAGGAAGATGAAGAGGTGGATGATGCCGACAAGAAGAGAAAGAGAAAGGATGGAGAGACCGCAGAAGAACGAGAAGAACGAAAGCGCCTAAAGAAGGAGAAAAAGGAGGCAAAGGAGAAGAAAAAGCAAGAGAAGAAAGAGAAGAAGGAAAAGCGAAAATCCAAGCAGGCCGAGGATGCCAGTGACAGCGATTAAGGGATTGGATTTGCCCAGCAGGCGTCAGTTACCTTTACCTTTTTTTTCTTTTGTATCATATCCCTTTTTATACCGTTGGAGTATGGGACTGATCCAAAATTGGGCTTCTTATCTATGTTTGCTGGAGTACATGGTTGTGTTTATTTCGTTCTACTTCTTTCAATAGTTAGTTAGCCTGGGTAGTTTGGCTGAATATACTGCTTCCGAAATTTAATACCGGGACTCTTGTCCTTTGTCTAGCTGACAGGTAAAAGACCAAATTTCATGTAGAAAACGAAGCAGTATTCGGGGAAATCTGCTGCGTTAGTAGAGGGAGAAGTATGGTTGGTGCTGGTCTCGGTGATCTCGGCTGTGATGTGGCTTTGCCGTGTTGACGTCGATCTCGCTGACATCACAGCGTCGACTTCAACCTCATCAACCAACCTCACGCCTCCGTTCGCACACGACCACTTCGACACCCACATTGCTCTTATATTAAATCTTGGGGGTTATAGCATATGAAAAGAGGCACTGCAGATAGAAATATTCTGGGCTTGTCATCAACATGGCAGCGGAACTTGGGCCGACAAAGCTCAACGCGGAGAGCCACCTGATTCTGGTACATCACAGCTTTCCCAAAGACGAAGAATATATGAAAGAAGACCCTACTAACTGGCTGTTTTGAAGGATCAACCTCTCCTACGGCTTCCACATGAGCTAGCTCGCCGGAACTTCAAAACTGTTCAGCGCATCGTGGAGAGAGAGAAGGAATATGTCATTCCCGCCTTGAAAGAATCAGCAAATGCCTCGCTCTCTGGGAACCAAGATCCTACCCAAGCACTCGCCTCTTTGGACACCATGATAACCCGGATGCAAGGGCTAAAGCGGAAGATGGAGGCACTACAAGAGGAGGAGAAGAGCATCCTCTCCCAGTCCAGGAAAAGGATCGAACACCTTGAGGACCTCTTCGGCATACAGAGCTTGGTAGATGTCAAGTATGATAGATGGTCGAAGACAAGGCTGAACAGGTTGCTGGTAGACCATATGCTACGTTCAGGCTACCTT